CTACCCCCCCCCTCCCTTCTCCAATCCCTGAATACTCACCAATCCTCAAATTCCTAATCCCAACAGGCCGGTAACGCACCTGTAACGCCTTTGGTGGTCCAGGTGTCCATGGGCGACGCCGGTTGTTTACTATCAGGTGATCCTTCTGCTCGTTTACCGGCTCTCATAAAAAAACATTACCTGCATACGAAGACAAATTACGTGATATTAAAGTATTTCTAAAATTGAAACAACTAAGCGCACTTTGTAATTTCTGACAGCCCTGTTGGCGCAGTGGTTGGGCAATTGGTTTGCTGAAGTGTTACGGCTTCTGTTACGTCTGTATCTGATTCTATGAAGGTACTTTAGGTACTTTATGTTTTGTACACGCACCCACGACACAGGAGAAAATCCTATTGCGGGGCAACGTTTTTAATAGGTAACCAAATTACCTGCCTGGCAGGTCCACGTGTCAATGCTTTGCTCCACATCTGCATAGCAACTGTACCAAGAAGCTACATACATATAAACATTCGCATCTAAAAATAAATCAGAACTGTAAACTCAGCAACAAAATAGGGTTGTAACATTTTACTTTTTGCTACACCACACCACTTAAGCAATGGTCCAAACTGGATCCGCGCTCCCCTACAAAGTTGACAAAGGAATGAGAGACGGGCGAGGGTTTCGCCAACCCTATACCTATGTTTCATACCTAGTATTGTGTATATCTTACGTAAAAACGCTGAGGGTATTATGACTGGTTTGTTACTGGGAATTCAATAGACTGCCTCGTTGGCAGAGTGGTCGCACATGCGACTCCCAGGCAAGGGGTCTCGGGTGCGATTTTCGGGTCGGGCAAAGTAGTTCTGGGTTTTTTAAAACATTGGTAGCATAGAGTCTGAAATTGTGCCCGGTATCTGGCAATAGGCTCACCCCCTATTACATGAGACTCATAACATAAATAGTGAAAAGTGGGTGTTACATTGTACAGTGGCATTAAAAGTCGTAACGTGCACCCTCCTACGCCTTTGGGGATAAAAGGCGTGATGTTATTTAGAGGTACATTATGATATTTAGTGACTTATTCTATTGGTACTGTTTAGATAATAATTAGTTAATCACAGAATACGAATGCAAAAATAAAACTATAACACAGAACTTAAATAATAGAGGAACAAAATTAGATTATCGAGATAATGATAACCAAAATTGTAAATTAGCATAGGTAACTCAAAATGCAGCCTAGTAGTAAAATGTCATTTATGTTTGAAGAAGAGTTCCCCTGATTTTCAAGTGGTGTTTATTCCAACTATTGTTTTTCAAATTCTTAGTAATAATATGAAAGAGAGTACGGAGATTTATATTGTGCTTGATGGTGACAGGATTTCAGACCACCAGAGATAGGCTCCAATAGGGCTGATGCCGATACGGAGCCGCGTAGAGCGTAATGGGTTGCTGGTGCTCCGGTTCGATGTGCAGGAGTAGGAACGGGGTGGTTTTTAGTCAGTAAGAGTCTGACACTCTCACTCTCCTCACCCTAGACAAAAACTAATTGGATTATTTTTTCCCTTAAAAAAAACCCCTTTTTATTAGTAACATTAAATGTTGAGGAAGTACAGTCTGATAAAACTTATAGACGTAATTTCTTCGGAATAATAGTGCATAGTTTATGTTTTTTTACTGTCCCATTATTGGTATTTCCCATAGCTGGCGTGTCGCGAGATTATTACCCCATCCACCACATTGAACGAACAGAGTTCCGTGAAATTAAGGTAAAAATATTATTTTTATGCGAATTATACCTAAGTACAGTAAAATGCGGTAGTAAAATAACTATTGTGGTAAGTTTGTACATGTAAGTACCATATTCATGGCATTGTGTTGACAACGCTCTATTACACCTTAGCCGCGGAAGACTTAACGTGTTGGCGGGGCTTCGACTTGAAGAGCAGGAGTAGGAACGGGGTGGTTTTAGTCAGTAAGAGTCTGACACTCCCTCTCGTTTCTCCCAAGACGGGAGGAGTAATTAAATGATTTTCCCCTTTCAAAAAGGGCCTAGTAATATATTTCTAATAAAAATTTCCATTGGTGTAAAATAATGCGATTTATTTGATACCTCAAATGAAATTTTCAGATTTGGATACATGACACATCCGCAGTATGCTTATGGTTATATGGGCTTCGGTTTGGCTTGAAACTAGTCAAGTAACCCTAACATCTGACTGAACAGAGAGAACGATATCAATCTATCTAAGCAATTTATGTAACTTAAAATAAATTAGTACAATGGATTACTGTACCTATCAGATTAAATAGTTAATTATTTTACAGCTATACCTAATTATAAATTTTAGTTTCAACCACAATTTAGTACCAACATGTTTTCTAACAAAAACCATGATTAACCAAAATAACTTGAAATAGGTTTTGTGTAGACGAGTTAAATCGATACGATGTTTACATAAACGTAGGGTCAATGTCAGTTTAACTTTGTTAGGTAAGTATTCAACACCAAACACGTTTGACTAAACGAGTGTCTAATACG